GACTGCCAGCAATGGCTGTGTCTCTGCAGAGCTGCCCTGGTCAGCAGGGCGGCTGGTAAAGCAGGAGAGCAAAGAAGGTTCTGAGCAGCTGCCAATCTCCCAACAGCAGAGAAATAAAGGAGAAACGAGGCAGGGAGTGGCCAGTGTGGCACAGGAAACGGGGAGTGGAGGGGCGGGGACCCGGGCTGCGCACGCGCACGGCAGGAGATGGGGCAAGATGGGGGAAGGATGGGGGAGAGGCAGAGTCCGTTTCTGCTGCTCTCACGGGAGCCGTCCCCTTCAGCCAGGCCAAGCTCAAAGCCAAACTTGACGGCCAGTCCGGACGGCTGAGCACCAGCCTCGCCAGCAATGTGAGCTTCCGCCCGTCCCCTCCCCGGGCCTGCTCCGGCCCAGGTGTCGGGGTTTGTTAAGTGAACCTCTATCATAAGGGACCAGACGCGGCACAAGAGCGAACACCGGCCTGGCCTCGGGAGGGCTGGGGGGAGGGGGGCGGGGGGCTGGTCTCAGCAGGGTGGGACAGAGGTTGGCAGAGAGGACCCCACGGGGGGGGGACCCTGAAGCAGAGTCAGGTGACAGGGCGGCGTCTGTGCGTAGATTACGTGAAGAGAAGCGGGCACTGGAGACAGACGGATGCGGAAGGACACCCAGAGGCTGCCCCAAGGAGAGTGAGGAGGGGACAGTGGCCCAGGTGAATTGAAGGGTCCAGGGAAGGGGCCAAGGTGTATTGGGGTGGGCTGTCCTCCCGACAGAGAGCTCCTGGCTCAGACCAACCCTCCTCTAGGGTCTTTGGACAAGTGGCCCCCACAGTCCCAGGACAGGCCAGGCTACTGAGCGCAGCACGGCAGCCCAGTCGTGGGCCAGGAAGAGCGAGAGGAAAGGCGGGGTCTGGCGGGGCCCTCACCAGTGGTGCAGGACATCGTTAATCAGGTAGATGAGGTGCAGCCGCAGCTCGAAGTGCGCCCCGTCGGCTGTGATGCGGTTCCGGAGGTGGCCCGCCATCAGCTCACAGTGCGGGGGAGACTTGGCGTTGCTGAACATCCAGTTCTTCCCGGCCTGCAACGGCCAGGCTGACGGTGAGCCGGAGCGTGTGCAGGCGCCCGGGAGGGTGAGGGCACACCCCGAGGGCGTGGTGTGCCAGGGCTCAGGGGCACACCGAGACTGCCGCCTGCCTTCTGGCTCCCTCTCGGCCCCGTGAGCAGTGCACCTTGCCCACGTGCTGTCCGGCCCATGGTGCTCACGAGGGAAGGGAAGGGACAGACAGGGCTCCCCTTGAGCAGTCTCAGCCTGCAGCGGGCTCCCCCCCGCAACAGGACACCAGGTTCTGGGAGCACCCCCGCCCCCCTCCAACCCCACCTCCCCTCACCGAGATGGCATCTTTGGTACATGTGTCAATGATGGGTTGCAACAGGTTGTCAAACTCATTCATGTCCAACTGGGTCTCCTCCAGGAGCTTCTGCATCTGCTGCTCTACGGCGTGGGCCACAGCCGCGGTCACCTGCTCCTGGGAGGCCAAGCAGGGTGGTGACGGTGTGAGGAGGGATCTTGGCCCAGGACGAGCCTGGCCCATCCGTGCCCTGCCCCCCAGCACCAGAAGGTCACACTCAAAGCCTGAGACAGGCATCTGGGACAGTCATGGTCATGGCCATGGCCGCGGCAAGCAGAGGATAAAGCAAGACAGAACACAGCAGGGAATGACGTCTGCCCCGAGGTGACGGACAGAAAAACGAACACCCAAAGAACGAGGAACCTCAGCAAATCAATTCAACAAAAAAGGAAACCGAGGGATAGGTATGGACAGACGACATCTCTGAGAGCACATCCAGTCCGTCGCCAGTCAAGGGAAAGGAGAGCCACCGCACCAGCCGTCAGGGACAAGGGAATTGCAATGGGACGTGGGGCCCCACACTAGATCGGCGCACTGGGAAGTGGCCGTTAGGCCACCCGGTCCCTCATGAGCTCTGTGTGGAAATGGAGGGGGAAACGGACAGGGAGCCTTCTAGAAGGTTTTGTTTTCAGCAAAATCACGGTAATTTTACATCTGTATCCAGTAATAAAAGCACAGCTAGTGTTTCAGAGGTCATATTTTTTACTCGTTTTATTTTTCTGGCAATTTGTCCTGTTGCACTCGGCCAAAAACTCAGACGATGACAAACCAGGACAAAAGGGTCCTTCCCCACGACAGCCTGGGGTGACCTAGCGAGGAGCCGGAGCCAAGGGCACCAGAGGCCACCTGGCCTTCACTGTTACACGGTTTCTAACGTGCGCCGCCCCCCCCCCGGTGGGCGTCCATCCCCGCACAAAGGGAGTCGTGCATCAAAAAGCTTGTGGCATGATTTCACCCACAAGAAGCAGCACCCCGTGCCCAGCGTCAGGGGTCAAGCTAACACACCACACATGGTGGCAGCCCCGTCCTCTGTGCTGACGAGTGGTGAGGAACTTGGTGAGGAGCTCTCCTGACTTACGAGGCAGGCGCAGGCTGAGCAGGTAGCCAGCTCAGGACCCGGAGGGGAAGTGGGGAGGGGAAGCAGGAGGCAGTGGGGAAGAGGAACGGGCCCATACCTGTCTGAGGGCTAACAGGTGCTGCTCCTGCTGCTGCAGGTTCCACTGGCTCTGCTGGATGAGCTCGTCCATGGATGGGGCTCCCTGGGCTGGTGGGATGGGCGCAGCCGGGGCCAGCGGGGGCTGCGGCAGGGGAGGCAGCGCTGCGGCCGGCTCCAGCTCCGGGGCCTGCTGCTTGCAGATGACTGACGGGAGAGGAGGAAAGGCGGCCCCCATGAGGAGGTGGCCCCTCGCTGCTGCTCAGGCAACTCCAAGCCACAGAGACTGCCCCTGCCGATCCTCACCACCCACAAGAGGACCCCGGTGCCGCACTGCAGCCCCCTTGCTCTGCACCTGGCCCCCCACTCACAGGGCCCAAGCCTTGGACCCTTTCCGGTGGGACGTCACCTTGCCCCTCTCCTGCCCACCATCTGGCTTGGCCCAGGGGTCTTCCAGCTGAGACCAAGCCCATCCCCCTCCACCCCTCACCCAGGCCGGAGCCTCTGCTGAACCCAGACCATGGCCACTGGCGGACAAACGGCCCTCCCCAAGGGTGTCTCTTGTGTCCCGTCCCTGCCACCTCCTCAGCAGCTTCCGTCTGTAAAAACTCTCCCTTTGCCCCATGGCCCTCTGGCAACGGTCTTAAAGCTGAGACTCATCTTCAATCCTTCAGCTCCCGTTTACGTCGCCCCATGGCCGTCTGGCTGTGCATCGCCACCCCGGGCCGCTGTGGACATCCTTCCTCAGCCCCGTGGCCCCGTCTCAGGTCCTTGTCTCACGTGGCCTGTGTGGCCACCCCCAGGCCCCTTTGTCTTCCTCTGCCGAACCCCTGAATGCGGGGATGCCTGATCTGCCCTCTCCCCTGGGCCAGCCCACAGGGCAGTGGGACACAGGAGCTTCAAGGTGGCAGTTACTGTGTGCGAGCCACGCTCCTTCCTCTACCATCTCCTGGAGTCCTCGCACGATGGATCTGATCACAGACCAGACAGCTGACTGACCTTCCAAAGGCAAAGCACACAGGTCCGCGTGTCCTCTCGCCACTTGCTCCCCTCCCCACGGCCCCTCCCAGCCCCCGTGGCTGGCACGGCTATGCCCACACCCAAAGCCCAGAAGGTCCAGGCACTTCTTTCTCCCTCGCACCTCGCACTAACAAGTCACCCCGTGTAGTGAAGTCAGGCTCCTGGATGACACTCCAGCCTATGTCCCTGCCGTGACTCTGTTGTCACCTGCATCACCCTTGGAACTGATCTCCCTGCGTCGGGTCCTGCCCCTGTATTTCTCAACAGTACAGCCGGCGGCTGCTGTTCATGTGGGGTCTGAGGGCTGGCCCAGGGCGAAACCCAGACCAGTCAAGTATAAACGTGCCAAGAGATTCTTCTGGCACCTTTATAGCAACTCGATGTTTCACAGATCACATTTTATTGTATTTTGCAACAGCGTACTTTCCACAACAGGTTGGAAGTTCTACAAAACGAAAAATAAAAGCTAGTCCTTCACCGGACTTTGCAAAGCGCCATTCTAGAAAAGCCTTGGGGCTCACTCTTCTCAAATAACCAAGGTGCAGCGCCAGCTACACAGTGGCTAAGCCTGCTCCACAACACAGTCCTGAAATCCTCCAAGACCTCCCCAAAGCTTCCGGGAGAATTCCTAAGTCCTTGGCCAGCCAGCCCTCCCTCCTCTGCACCCTGGCCTCTGTCCACTCCAAGCATCCCCCTTTCTCTGGGCTTTAGCCACTCTGAGCTACTGCCCCCTCCACTCCCAGCCCAAGGCTCTTTCCTCTGCCGGAATACTTTTCTCTTCTTTGTTTCCATCTGGCTAACTCTGACACATTCTTTAATCTCAGCTGAAACGTTGTTGCCTGCAGAAGGCATTTCCGGAACCCCCATCTCCCCCTGCTAGAAGCACCCTATCCTTTCCCCCATTACAGTACCAAGTCCTAAGTGGCCTCTGATTTCTGACCCTCCAGGGAGGGAGCGGGCTCCCCTTGCAGGGAAAACAGCGTCTAACCTCACGGTCACGCGAGCCAAAGTCCTCCTCTGCCGGGTTATGCCACCCTTATCAATATCCAACTGATGCCCCAGTTCATGAATTCTACCCCTTAAGCCCACTTGCCCCCATGCCCTCTCCCTCCTACTCAACCTGCTGACCTAATTCAGACCTTACCATCAACTGCCCTGTTCATTCACCTGCAGACCTCCCCAGTCTGCAGCCTCCACTCACGCCCCCTCCAGCCTGCCCTCTACACTGGCCACACAAACCTGACCCACCTCTTCTGTCTTTCAAACTCTCTTGTGGCTTTCCACCGCCTATAGCAGCAGTTTTCAAAGTGATATGCTGGGTCAAAGGAATGGTTGCTCCAAAAGCACTTAAGTGCATTCAACAATTTGCCTACAGTTTTAGGCAAATCTCCCCCACCCCCATTTCAAACCTAACTGGGCACCAGACGAACCCCTAGAAAACCCGAACTTTCCCCCTGGCATTTACCACTCCAGATCAAACCCTTCCCCCCTCTACACACGTTCTGTGCTCCAGCCGTGCTGGGTCTCTCATGATTTCTCTTACCGCTCCCTAAACACATTGTGTTTATTCAAGCCACGGCACTTTTGCTGTTTCTCACAAACTTTTTATTGAACATTTACTAAGTCCCATGTAGTAGGGCACAACAATGACCCAAACAAGGTCTGGTTGGCCTCAGGGAGCTTGTAGTCTAGGAAAGATTCACCTTTCAATGCCCATCTACTTGGCAGCCCCCTGCTCATTGGTTCAAACACTGTATCTAGAGATGTGGTATGGAACAAGACAGATGTGGGCTCTGCCCTCAGGGACCCCACCACCTGGTGACTATTTATCTAGTATTCAAAGGCCAGCTGTGATGCCTAAACCCACCTTAAACTCTTTGAGGGTAGGGCTGGCATCCTGATACCCAACCCGGTGAACATCGATAAACATCTGACAAAAACTAAAACCCAAAGAACAAGTCTTTTGGGTCTGGACTGCAAACACCTGAAATGCACAAAAATCTTGCTAGACCGTCTACACAGAGAGCTCGCAATGGGTGCTGGACAGTGCCTGCCAGGAGGGTCCCGGTCCAGCTTCTCTCACTTCCACCCTGGAAAACACCGAAACAGCCACTCTACTTCTGCTGACCTAAGTCATCACATCTGCAAAAACAACAGAAAAATCCCTGATCCGGAGCCCAGGACAAGGATCGATAACCTCGTTCTCCAGTACACTCGGGCCCAGCAGCCGCTAGGTGCAGGGCCCTGGGAACAGCGGAAGGGATCAAGAAGGCCCAGGGGCCCCATTTTCAGAGACAGAGCATGCGGCCCACAAGAAGGCGGTTTGTGGCAGAGCCCGAACTGGAGTCGGAGAAAGGAATCGCTCGAAGGGACGGCCTGAGAGCTGGAGAGAACTCACGCTGCTGCTGCTCCAGCGCTAGCTTGCACTTGTAGTAACTGTAGAACTCGCCTCCGAACAGAAACGAGAATTTCGGGTTGTCCTTTTGCTTCTCCATCGTCATCTTCTCAAACTCGGGCCCGTTGCGAGCCACGAACTGGGCCAGCTTGTCGATGACATTTCGAAGCTCTTGGTCTGGAGGACGGAGAAAAGGCCACGCGGGGCGTCAGCGAGGACCGCCCAAATCCGGGGGCCCTGGCGTCCCAGCCCCCGTCCGCCGGGCCGGGGTCCCTAGGGTTGGGCTCCAGAGAAGCCGCCCTTGTACGGGTCCCGATAGGGGCCACACGCGCGCCGGGGATGCGGGGACCCGCGGGAGAGGCCGCAGGCGAACCCGGGAGGCCGAGCCCCGCCCCCTCTTAGGCCCGGAAACCCCGGAAGGCGGGGAGGGCCAAGGAGGGATTCCAGGGAAAGAGAAACGGTCCCCGAGCCCAGGCTGGGCCTCACCGTCGGGCGGCAGAGGCATCTCCATGGCTCCGGCCGCAGGGAACGTCCTCCGGCGCCTCACGATCGCCCACCAGCCCCGTCTGCGGAAGCCGGCCGGAAGTGGCGCGAGGGAGCCGTTTACGGCTGGCCTCGCGGGCTGCTTCCGCCCTCCACTTACGGCGGTCGCCGGGAAACCGCGGAAGTGAGGGCAGAAGACCGGCGGGAAGAAGCCGCGCGAGGCCGGGCGCGCGGTAGGGGCTAGCGATGCGCACGCGCAGGGGCTTTCCCGCGCTTGCGCGGGGTGGGCTGCTGTCGCGCTACGCCCCGGAACGGCTGGAACAGCGCAGACTACCGTTAGCCGCGGCCGCAGGCACGGCCGCGGCGTCCTCCCGGGCTCGCGTCGTAGCCGGAGGGCCTGGCAGCCGCGTTCTCCGCTGGACGAGAGTTCTGGGGAGTTCCTCCCCGCGGGGCTGCGGTGAGAAGACTACGAGGTGAGGTGCGTCCGGGCAGGCTCCCGGGCCGCGACGCCGGGAAGTAGAACCGGGAGGCGACGGGCGTGGAGGGGATGGAACTGGGCTATTGAGGTTCTCAAGATCCTCCCGCTCAGTTTCTTTCGCTCGACCCAACTCTTTGGTAAGGAAGACTTTGGGGCGGGGGACCTCTCCATCCCTGTCGGCCTCACCCTGCGTCCCCCTTGGGGCTCGCCGGGCTTCGGTGCAGTCATTTGAGCGGCGTGGAATGAGCGCCCACGACCTGCGGGTGCCCGGCCTTGTAGACTGCGCGCCCAGAGCGCACGGCTCGCCTTTCTCAGAGATGCAGTCACATTGCTTCTCAAATGATGACGAAGCGAACGTGTGCTCGTGGTGGGGAAAGAGAACGATGGCAAGCAGCAGTAAATGTTAGCGTAGACTGTGGATATCCCCGTAATCTGACCTTCCTGAGATTGCCATTGTTAACACTTGGTTGGCTATACCTCCCTATTTTTTCCACGCAAATAAATGTCCATATATTTCAGATACATTTTTTCTTCTTTTTTTTGGCTCCAGACTTACTCATTTGACGCTTATGGACTGCCTCCTGTATGCAAGATAATGCTTTAGGCCAGCAGTTGACAAACTTGCTCTATAAAGGGCCAGATAGCAAATATTTAGGCCATGTGGGCCAAGAGGCAAAGTTGAGTATATCATGTAGGTACTTACATAGCCGGAGAGAAAAATACCCTTAATATTTTTTATTGGTGGCATTCAAAACTAATAAGTAGTTTTTCAAATACAGGTCTTCTAAGGAGAAGAAGGGAATGTTTTGCGGTTCTAAGTTGGTCTTTTCCTGTCATTAACTGATTGCAAATGTTCACTAGTAAAGACTATTCTTGGTTCACAGAAAAGCAGGTGGGGTGTGGTTTGTGATGGAGTTGGGCCTGAACTCTGCTCTCCTGAGCCTGTAGTCTTGGGTGGGGGGTGGAGATCAGTAAATCAGTAAACAAATACGTCAATACAACGGTGTTAAGGAAAACAGGTTTTTGATAAGGGAGGAGGGTGGGGTCTGCCCCTGGGAAGTGAGGTTTGTAATGAGATCCTAATCAGGAGCGAGCTACGTGATACTCCAGGCAAAGGGAACATGTGGGATTGGTCTGTTTAGTATAAAGCTCAGTAATTTGGATAGTGTGGGTATTTTTCCAAGCCAGTAAAGATCTATATCGAGGTTTTAATTTGTGATCTGCCTTGGGTGGAATTCAGAGATAGCACACTGTTGTACCTGTATGTATTTTCGTGAGTTAAAGATACATGGCATTTTTCAGATTCTTAACAAGATCTGTGAGCCAAAACAGGTTAATGAATCTGTGTGGTCATTTTTAATGACTGCATAGGACAGTGTGGTGTGGATGTACAGTAATTCATCGAAGCCAGACTCTGTGGAGTTTCTGGGGTTGGTTCCATTTTTTGGCCGCTACTAAAAGAGTCTTAGTGTAGGATGTGCACATATAATACTGATAATACTCAGCTGTCCCTTCAAAAGATTGTAGACCTGTGACCACTTTTATATATTCATGTCTTAATGTTTAAAACACCATTTATCTGAGACAAAACACCATTTATCTGAGACTGAACATTTAAGCATCATGTGGCCTCACCCAGACTCATTTCAGTGGGCCAAATTAGAATCCAGTGGTCTGAAGAAAGCAGTAGAGCTGCTAAAAGTAGAGACTGCTGCACAGATGGTCTCCAAGAACCTGGAAACACAACTCTTAAGGAAACAAGTAAAATATACTCTCCTAGATGGGATGAACTTGCTGAAGTTCAAGAGGCAAAATGGAAAGAAGTTTAAAGCCATATGCATTCCCGCTTTGATCTGCAGACATGCTGTGAGAAATTTATCCCAAATCAGAAGTATGGGCTACACTGTACATGGCAAAGTTATCCCATAAAATGGTGTTTAAATGTGCAGCAACAGGGGTTGGTTAATTACAGCGTATCCCTTCAGTAGATTACTACAATATCCTGTACACAGACACACAAAATCAAGAGAGAGTATTTAATAAGGGGAAATGTTTTTGGCCCATTTTTTAAAGCAGACTATAAAATAATATGCATATGCCAGTTGTGAAAAAAATGTGTATATATCCTCAGGGGCAACTGCTGTGTCCAGTCTTTTGTGTGTCTTTTAGAAATAAACTGTATTCACAAGCACATTTATATAGCAATATATTTTGGAAATTGTTTTCTCTATACATAGATCTATCTCATTCTTTTTGATGTCTGTATAGATATGTCTTTTTAGCTTTAACAATTACTTTCAAATTTGACAAATAGGCAATAGACGTTGTTATTAGAAAAAGTCGTGGGTGATAAGGAACTCCAGGCCCATCCAGACCTGTAGTCTCAATAAAGGCAAAGCTTGGTGTGACTGTCACCTCGTTCCTACAGTAACAGAACCCCCTGTGGTCAACTAGCCGAAGGCGCGGCGGAAGGAATGATGTGGGAACAGAGAAGGTCCTGTTCCATCCTGGAGCAGCACCATTTCTCAGGCCTGATCACGTCGCAGAGCAAGCCTCTGGTCACACAGGAGTTGCCCTGGGGAGACAAACAGGAGTATTCCCGTCCTTGGAGAGGACACTCCCAGGTATGAGTTGGGACTGGGTCTGAACCATGGGGCCGCACGCAGCACCAGCTCTTATTCTCTGCAGGAACAGGCTCTGACTTGTTGGAGCTGCAGGGCAGACTACAAAGCCACCTGGTCGCCCAGACAGGGTGGCTCCTTCAGGGTCTTAAACCGTAGTGGTGTGGCCCAGGCAACTGAAATGAAAGGATACATACAAGTATATGACAAAGATGAGGCTAAACAAAATCGCTCACTTTATCTTGGCTGCTTTGCAGGGCAAAGGGCCCTGGCTTGGGCTCAGACACTCCTGGATTCCAGCCTTGCTCCATGGGCCGAGCGGGACCTTATTCCCGTTTCCCTCTAGAATGGGGCTAATATCTCAGGTGCTGATGGTTAAATGAGATGTATATAATACCAAATACGCAGATAAAATATCCTGAGAATCCTAAGTGCAAATCAAAACATTCTGCTCCCCTCTGGACTTCCCTTAGCATTTTCACATATCTCCAATATAGCACCTATATACCACTTACTTAGTTACACATCTCTAAATGAAGCCAAGCGTGCTCTGAGGCTTAGGTATTTCAGTTTCCTGTACTTGAAACATATTAAATGTCAGTAAATGATTGAACAAAAGGATTATGAATTAAGAGGGTGTGGGCAGTTGTTTTAGCAGAAACTCCTACCCTTCAACTACTACTGAAGGAAGTTCTGTTGGGACCTGGTTTCTGAGTCACATGGAGGGGGAAACGGGCTCTGGAGGCAGACTTACTGGGTGAGTCCGGGCAAGTGACACCCCCCCGCCCCATGAGCCTTGTTTTCAGCTGTAAAGTAAGGTTAATAAAGCTTAAGCAAAGGAATTATAATGACTGTGTGTGAGAAACCCCCAGTGTGTTGGGCCTGCAGTAGGTCCTCAGTATTAGCTAGTATTCCTCAAGCATAGCTGCTGAACCTTCTTGGGTTTCCCGTGTTATTCTGTTCAATAAAGGCATGTCATTAACTGCTGAGTTGTGATTCTAGTTTTATTCTACCATGTCATAAATTTACAAACCACACGTCCTAATTTTTGGCTCCGGAAAAAAATAAAAGGTTGCAGTTTACTCTGATGTGAGAATCAAGTTGGTTTGCTCTTTCTATCTCTCATGTTTTGTTGCTGGGCACGTTGAAAACAGGGTCACTCAGAAAGACCCTTACTGACAAATTAAGACCAGTCGTGATTCCCTGGAGACCATCGTTTATTTTTGGTAAATGCCATCAATGAATACTCATACAGTATCATTCCTACAAAAGTCTGTAGCATTTAAGTCTTGAAAACAGGTGACAGTTGAAAAAAAGAATTCACAATTTTCAGTTCCTTGAATAATTTAATGTTCTGTCCCCTTAAGGCTGTGAGACCTTAAGGTTTCCGGGCCTGGTTATGTCCCAGCAATAATAAAGGGCCTGTTCTATAATGTATGCCAAAAACACAGCAAAATTCGGAAATCCCAAGTGCTTCTTCACTTCAACATACTTGGCTTCTCTCCTTTGTAAAAGGGGTTTGATTTTTCCCTGTAACGAATGACTTAAAATAAGGTGCTTAAAAAGTCCACACTGAGTCTCAAATAGTGAACAAACACTATTCAGAAATGCCCTCTGAACCTCAGTTTCCCCTTCTGTAAAGTGAAGGAGTTGGGTTCGAGTTAGTATCGCGGGCAAGACCATACCATGGATGGGTAGACTAATTTGCTACCACAAACCCCAGCAGGAAGGAGGGTGAGGGGAACAGAGCTGCAAATGTGAATGTGGGAGTGGGGCGGGGGCGGCAGGCCAGGATCAAAGCGGCTGGAAAACTGGCCTTCAGGAGTTCAGTGTCAGCTCTGAACCTTCAAGTCTCAAAAGTATGTCTTTGTCTTTTGATCTGATGATTTGGTCTAATAATGATTGTCTCATTCATTCCAGTGTATGTACTTGCTGTAGATTTATGTACAGAATTAAATACCCCATTTATTAATTTATAAACCGTAATAAAACCAGTCATTTCCCCTCGCCAGCAGATCTTGCATTGGAAAAGGGAAACAAATTAATATACAAATTTTAGCAACATCAGAAATTTGATTAAACCTGAAAAGACATGTGAATTCATTTTGGAGTTCAATTATCTGTCCAAGGAATCAGTTACTATAATCACAAAGACAGCTACTGTAATATCTTTGTGGTGCAAAATTATCCCCATTTGTTGCTATTCCCCAGTGAGAAAAGTCAGCCACGGACCATAGTGCCTCTGGTGGAGGCACTCAGCAAGCTCTTTTCCCAAATCCCCTTTGGGATTTCTCCTTCCCATTTACACAGCAACTGTCTCAAAACTTGGGACCAAAGTAATTATAAAGCAAATGAATGGCACAGGGACCTGAGGCCGGTGGTGCATAAACTCAGGCCAGAAGGGGACCAGGTGACCTTTCCAGGAACAGCCCATTCATAAGCTGACAAAGTAACAAAAACCAGGAGTCAGTCATAAGCTATGGTACTTCCTCTGACGGGAAAATGCCTCACTCACCAGGAGGTAAAGGGTGACCCACTGTCCCATCTGCTGCTCCCTCCAAATGCCTATTCAAGAGGTAGGGCACAGTGCTGAAGGAGGAAGGCAGACGTCACCGAAGACCCCACCAGCAGAGCCAGTGGTCCTCTCTGTGAGGGCAGGGTCCTCTTGTGACGCTGGGGAAGTTGGAGACCCTCACCTGAACCTCAGCACATGGGCTACCTGCTGGGGCCACGTAATTTTCCTGATCTGATTTATCCAAACCCAAACCACAGCTTGGTGCTCACCCCTTCTCCCCTTCACCAGGCCATGATTCAGATCCTAACGCAAACACCACCAGATCAGGTCATGGAATCAAAGTGCTGTGGTCTTGTCTATTACACAACCTACTGAGATGATGTTCTTGATTCACTCCGCTTTCAGCAGCTGGGGCCATGAGAGAGGAGCTCGAAAACACTTCATCGCTTCCTACTAAGGCTGAAATGTATCAAGACAGGCATCACCAGTAGGGAGCTTTTCTTGTTTTTAAGAACAAAAGGGTTTTCAATCCATAAGCCAGTCCTCCCTCATGCGTCCCCGCCCCCCCCCCCAGGGGACCGAGGCATAAATACACACAACTACAAAATATTCCCTAGAAAAATGCAAGATCCTCATGAAATGAACATCTCCCCGCCAAACATCCTACTAAGTCTTCACAGAAGTGGTGAAGACTCATCAGAAAAGACAAAACAAGTATTACAGAAATAGAGCTCAGAACACTGACATGATTTCCTAATGCTCCTTCTGACAGCCACGCAGTCACTTCCTCCTCGCTACCCCCAGAGAGGAAAGCCGCCCTGCTCCCCTGGCAAGGGAAGCGAAGGCACAGGAGTGCAACTACCCTACCTCTGGGGCTGGACACACACCAGCTCCGACGTGCAGGCTAGAGAAGTCGGCTCCAAGAATTCAAGGCTAATTGCAGGAGCTTTTCTCTTTGGGACATTTGCCAGTAACTGCAAATGGCCATGGGGTTGACTGGAAACTTTGTTCCGGTCCATCTTTGTTGTCGGAGATGCTTTTAAGAAACTGGCGCTCCTCTGCTCCATGCCTGCCTCAGCCCGTCGACCTACCTGAGCAGCGGAATGAAAGAGGCTAGTCTGTCACTCTCAAGCACCACCCTACAAGTCCCTTCCTTGGCACCCAGGAAACCCTGTGGCCTGCTCGGAGGTCTGCATCCACAGCGGTCCGGCCTTTCCGGAGAGTTATCTGGAAATACTATCTGGAAAGCAGAACAAGAACTCTCAAATACATGACTTGGGGAATTAGTCCACAAAGAAAGGTAAAAACCTGGCCAAGATCGCCATACCAACACAGACCTCAGATGACAGACTCCAGGAAGAAAGGGCCTGGAACACCGGAGCTCGAGGGCAGTGGTCCTTACTGCGGGGCAACGTCCTGCCGCCCCCAGGGGCCTGGGAAGCCCGGGGTCTGCTGATGGTTATGCACTGTCCCCTCGGCCGGGTTGTACATTCACTGGTTGTCAGAAGTTTCTGGTACTGCTAGGGAGTGGGGGGGAAGGAGTGACACAATGGTACCGCCCCGCCCTCTAGACTACACGTCATAACGGTTCAAACTGTAGGCATTTGGGTAACTCTGCCGGCTGTACTGGAAGTGGTCTGTTAAGATGTTGTTGCGACCATACTGATAGTCCTCGTGCTGGGGAAAGAGGATGCCATTGTGGGGTTTTTCCAGGGGGCTCCGATGGTGCTCCTTACTGCTCAGGTCCCCCGTGGTGACTGGGAGGAGGTGCTTCCGGGCTTGCTGATGGGCATCGTACTTGGTCTGCAAGGTCAAGAGAGCAGTGAGACAGCTGGCTCCTTCCCCGGGGCCCGTGCACAGGGCAGAGGCGAGCAATTCGCAGCCGAGCAGCCCTTCGAGACCCACTGAAGCACTGATGCAGACAGGCCTCAGGCATGGCTGGCCCTCCCTGTTAGCCACCCATGTCTTTGCACTGGACCAAACAGAGCCTTCTCGAGACAGTGAAATCCCTGACAAAGCCTCCATGGACCCAAGAGCCACGAGCCATGGCTGGAGTATGACATGGGAAAAGGAAGGCCGGGCCGGGGAGGACCACATCAACACCATAAACCAGTCCTTGATAAAGCTGGAGCTGTGGCCCCAGCCTCTTAGCTCCTGCTGAGGTCCCTTTCTTCTCCCACCACCTGTTGGTGCCTCCCTGGGCCTCGAGGGGACAGCCTCCCCCACCCCAGACTCACTTTGTTATACAGAAAGACCCCCAGGATGGCTGTCATCATGCCCAGGACATTGGTGCTGGTGACTGGGTTTTGCAGCATGATCAGGGACACCGTGATGACCATGATTCTCTTGGTGGCATTGGCGACAGAGTAGCTCAGAGGGCTGATGAGGTTGAGGATGCTGAAGGCGATGACATTCTGGGCAAAGTTACAGAAGCCGCTGACAGCCAGGAGCAGAAGCGTCCAGGGCCACTGGGACACATAGGTCTGTAGAGACAGGGAAGCAAGAACAGCGCTGGGGTCACATGCCAGCCCTGGCAGAGGTGGTGCAGGGGTGCAGAGGGGCTGACTGGGGTCAGTGTCGGTGGGGAGCAGACCCAGCTGTATGATGTGTAGTAACCGCTGTTTGATCCACAAAACCTCTGACGGTCACGACACGGCACGCGTGGCACAATGCCGATGACACCTTCATTCCTACTGAGGAGGAGGAGACTCAAGAGGTGAAGGCAGGTGCCCAAAGGGTGTAGAGCACGATGTGAACTGAAACTTCCCTTGTCCCTGACAGCGAGGACTGGGAGCTCTGGGGTTAGCAGAGCAAGGTCTGCTTACTGGACACTGTCTCAGTCCAGTCGAGCTGCTAGAACAAAATACCACAGGCTGGTGGGGGGGGCACTTATAAACAATAGATATTTCTCACAGTTCTGGAAGCTGGGAAGTCCAAGATCAAGAAGACTCAGTGTCTGGTGTGAGCTTCCTGGTTCATAGGTGGGGTCCACTCACTGTGCCCTCTGTGGTGGAAGGGTTGAGAGAGCTCACTGGGGTCTCCTTTTATAAGGACACCGGTCCTCTTTGACGAGGGCTCCACCCTTAGGGCCTCCCAAAGGCCCCACCTCCTAATACCATCGTCAACATAGAAATTTGGGCGGGGGGAACAAAAACATTCTGCAGCACACATAATGCCTTCTTACAAGATGGGGAGGCAGTCCCCGGGGGAGTATGCAAAGAACCTGGTAATACAAGAGCCCTGGGCTAGGGGCCAGAAGCCCTGGGTCTGCCCTGTCACTGGGACACCCCTCCCACCCCCACCCAAGCCACTTGACCTTTCAGATCACACTTTCTTCCCCTATGCAACAGAAGAGACTGAGGCCTGCTGAGCCCGCACAATGCTGCTACTGGGAGGATCAAAAGGGATCTCTGCTGTGAAAGTGCTTTAAAACAACCCAAACGCTGGGAGAGGTTATCAAAACTTTAGTAACCATCTGACCCTCACCAGAATGAAGCATTCAGATTAAGGGGGCCCAGAAATTAAGAACCCACAACTAGCAGACATCCTGGCCACAGAACTCCGCCCCCCCCCCGCCCCCCGCCAAGAGAGCCTGGGCTGATCCCAGAACAGGAAGCAGGCAACAGTCAGGTGGGTGCTGCCCTGGCCAGGCAGCCGGGGATGCCCAGCACTGAACATTTATGGACATCTATTCAGGGCTGGGTACCAGAAGGCATGTGGCACCACTCCCGTGCTTCCCCACCTCTCACAGTCCCACCTCAGTACCAGTCCTGGGGAACCGGGTTGCCAGGCCAGTGGAACGACCTCAGGAGACAGTACACCAGACACGGACAGCTCCAGCATCTGACCTAGTCTGGAGTGCTGGGACAATCCCCGTGGCCCTGCACTCCAAGGACAGAGTAGCCTCAAGACCCAGTGTGGCTCAATTGGGGAAGCAAAGACACAGATGGTTGGTGGCACCTGCTTTTTGCATCCCAATTCCCAGGCTGCATTGGCACTTAGTGGCCCTGCCAGGATGGGAGCTGGAAGTCTTAGAATAGCTGTCTGATCCCCCCTCCGCCACCCTCTGAGACAGAAGGATCACCAGGTCCTCTCAGAGGAGAGCAAGATACACTTAGGTGACCTGCTCAAGGCCACCCTGACTTTTGCCCCTAGTTGGGATAATAGCCTCTGTAAGGCACGTGAGCCCACCAGCATGCTTTTGTGGTGAGCTGGCCTGTCCTCTCAGGAGCCTTTCCCTGAGGTGACCAGTATGGACTTAGAAGCTATTTTTACGAGCCAGCAGCTTGCATAGATATCTATCTTTCAGAAGAGGAACCCAGCCAATCCAGCTTTTTTTTTTTTAATTGACTTGGAATGAAGTCGTGTTTCTTCCTCATAGTGCATAATTCCATGTGTTTTAACACATGCGCTGATTCACGTAGCCAGCACAATCGGGATTCAGAACTGCTCCGTCGTCACCCCAAAACATTCCCCCAGCCTTCTTTGTATGAATCCGCCCCCCCCAATCCAAGCAACTACTGATGTGTTCTTCTTCACTCTAGGTTTTTTTTTTATTCCATTCTATTCTATTTTATTTTAGTAGGCTCCACACCCAGTGTGGAGCTCAACGCAGAGCTTGAACTCACAACCCTGAGATCAAACCTGAGCTGACATCGAGAGTCAGATGCTTAACCAGCTGAGCCACCCAGGAGCCCCTAGGTTTGTCTTTTAGAGATTGGCCTACAAGTGGAATGATACAGAACGGAACCTTCTCGGACGGGCTTCTTTCACTCAGCAATAATGCCTCCACCAGCCATCCAAGTTGTCATAAGGGATAATAGCTGATGACTTTTTTTTATTGCCAAGTAATGTTCCATTGTATGAATGTACTAGAGTTGTTTTTTTTTTTTTTCACTCGTTGAAGGACACTTGGGTTGTGTCCAGTTTTTGGTGGTCATGAGTAGAGTTGTTATGAACATTTGTGTATAGGCTTCTGTGGGAACCTGAGTTCCACTTTTCTAAAATTAACACCCAGAAGTGAGATTGCTGGGTCATATGGGTAAGTGTGTTTAACTTCAGAAGAAACTCCCAAATGTTTTCTAGAGTGGTTGTACCATTTTGTATTTGCTCCAACAATATATAAGAATTCTAGCTGTGCCTTATCCTTAACATGATTTTTTTTTTACTGCAGCCATTCTAATAGGTATGAAGTGGTACCTCATCATGCTTTTGTTTCTTCTATTGACTAATGATGTTGAACATATTTCACTTGCCTATTTATATACCACCTGGACAATCTCAATGGGAAAAAAGTCTGTTCAAGTCTTTTGCCCATTTTTAAGCAAGTTGTCTTAGAGTTTTGAGAATTCTTTACATACTCAGAACGCAAGTCCTCTATCATTTGTAAACATTTTCTCCCTGTTGGTAGCCTGTCTTTTCTTTCACTTAGTAATGTCTTCACAGACCAAAAGTTTTAAATTTTGATGAAACTCCATTTACCAATTTTTTCTTTATGGATTTTGCTTTTGGTATAATGTTTAAGAACTAATTCCAAGTCATAAAGATCTTTCTGTTTTTGTTTTTTTTTTTTTAAGATTTTATTTATTTATTTGTCAGAGAGAGAGAGCACAAGCAGGGGGGGAGCGGCAGGAAGAGGGAGAAGCAGGCTCCCTGCTGAGCAAGGAGCCCAAGGCGGGACTCAATCCCAGGAACCTGGGATCATGACTTGAACCGAAGGCAGATGCCCAACCGACTGAGCCACGCAGGCGTCCCTCTCCTGTTTTTGTTTGTTTTTTTCCTAAAGGTTATTATTTTAGCTCTTTTTAAAATTTTTTTTAAGTAGGCTCCACACCCAGCGTGGAGCCCACTGTGGGGCTTGAACTCACAACTCTGAGGATCAAGACCTGAGCTGAGATCCAGAGTCGGATGCTCAACCTACTGAGCCATCCAGGCGCCCCTATCATGTTTGCTCTTAGATTTAAGTCTAGAATGCACTATGAGTTAAGTTTTGTATAACGTGTGAGGTCTAAGTCAAGGCTCAGAATTTTGCATATCGATGTCTAATTGTTCTAACACCATTTGTTAAAGAGACTTACCCTTTCTCCTTTGATTGCCTTTGAATCTGTAAAAAATCAATTATGCAGAGTTGTGTGTGTTTAGTTGCACACAATTCTGCTCCACTGATTTCTGTGTCTCTCCCTTCACCAGTATCTGTTCCTTTATGCTAAGTCTTAAAATTAAGTAATGTGATTCCTCCAAGTTTATTCTTTCTCAGACTTATGACTATTCCAGTTTGCTTGTCTATGTAAGTTTTCCAATCAGCTTTTCTATGTTAAAAAAATGTAATATGTACCTATCTACACACACACACATACACACACACACGCAGAGGCATACCTTGGTGATATTGCAGGTTTGGTTCCAGACCACTGCAATAAAGGAAATACTGCAATAAAGCAAGTCAAGTGAATTTTTTTGTTTCTCAGTGCATATATGAGTTATGCTTACACTCTATTGTCATCTATTAAATGCACAATAGCATTACGTCTTAAAAAATGTGCATGCCTTAATTAAATGTACAGAACTTTATTACTCAAAAATGCTAACCATCATCTGAGCTTTCAGTGAGTCATAATCACTAATCACCATGACAAATACAATAATAATTAAGAAGTTTGAAAGATTTGCAAGAATTACTAAAACACAACACAGAGACACAAAGTGAGCAAATGCTGTTGGAAAAAATGGCACCAATAGATTTCTTTGATGCAGGGTTGGCACAAACCTTCAATTTGTAAAAAAAAAAAATGTACTATCTGTGAAGTGTGATAAAGCTAAGCACAATAAAACAAAGTATATGCCTGTATAGACTAACGTATCTCAATTTTTTTCATCACCTTTTCCAAGGAAAAAAGTTAAATTCAAGCAATTATTTATAATTAAATTAATGCTAGAGAATAAGATTTTGTTGGTTAGAGAAAATTTTATTTCTTCCTTTCAAATCTATTTCCTTTATTTCTTTTTCTTGTCCTATTGCACTGGCCAGGATGTCAAGTATAATGTGGAATAGGCATATTGAGAGTGAACATCCTGAACTTATTCCTGAATTTAGCAGTAAAGCCTCCAGTCTTTCATCATTATGATGTTAGCTATAAATACCTTTGATTAGGTTTAAAGAGTTTCCTTCTATTTCTAGTTTGTTGACTTTTTTTTTTTCATGAATGTTGGATTTTGTTGAATGCCTTTTCTGCATAAGTTGATATATGTGATTTTTCTGTTAGACTGTTACAGATTACATTGACTTTCAAATACTGAATTAGCCTTGCATTCTTAAGTCCCATTTTGTCATAGTTATGCTTTTTATACATTGCTAGTATTTTTTTTTTTTTTAAGATTTTATTTAGTTATTTGACAGAGAGAGACACAGTGAGAGCTGAACACAAGCAGGGGGAGTGGGAGAGGGAGAAGCAGGCTTCCCGCCGAGCAAGGAGCCCAATGCGGA